GAATTCTTTCAGCACCCAAACGCCGCTTTCTACCCGGAAAAGCTCACCGGAAGCACTTTTTCATCAAAACAAGATGGCGGCGCCCAGCAAACCAGCGGCCCGGTAGAAATTTTTCCACGGACCGCTACCGGTCCGGGGACCGGTGGTTGGGGACCCCTGCCATAAAACATCTCCACAAAAGGTTGCAGGAATTGGGTATGTCTACTCTACTGAAGAGAAGGATTAGGGGCGACATAGAACAGGGATAGCACTGAAAGAGCGCTAACAATGATACACATCGCATAACAACATCATAACAATATCACACATCTTAACGAGGATAACAATACACCTGATAGCAGGGTTCCAATATTTGAGGGGCTGCCGCAGAGAGGAAGGGGTCAACCTATTCTTCAAAGCCCCTGAAGGCAGGTGAAAGGAGCAACAGATGGAAACTAGTCAAGGATAGAAGCAACCTGGGATTAAGGAGAAATTTCCTAACAGGGAGAACAATTAACCAGTGGAACAGCTTGCCACTGGAAGTTGTGAATGTCCATCCCTGGAAGCTTTTAAGTAGAGATTGGACAACCATTTGTCTGAAGCGGTGTAGGTTTTCCTGCTTCAGCTGGGGATTGGACTAGCAGACCACCAGGGTCCCTTCTGACTTGGCTACTCTGCCCACACCGCAGAGATGCAAGACTTACCAGCCGGTCTCGGTCGTTCTGGAGGGACGAGAGTGCCTTCTTGAGGTTGGACGTTTCGGCAAGACTCGGAGACACACTGGCGGCCGACTGCAGCTTCACCTCCTCCACCTTGCGGCTTCTGTCCAGCTCGCCCAACAGACGGTCTCGGTCAGCCTGCAGGCTGGCCATGGCCTGGGAGAAGGCCTTCACTTGGCCAGAGGCCCCCTCCAGCTCCGACGAGAAGCGAGCGAGCTGAGAATCTTTGGACCGAAGCTGCTGGTTGAGTTTCTCCAGCGTCTCCGAGGAGCCCTTCTCTTCCGCCGAGCCTCGGAGGGCGGCGAGCTGGGCGGTCAGGCTGTCCCTCTCCTTCTCCAGGGTGGCGCACGCCTCCTGAGCGTGGAGCTTCTCCCGCTGGAGGCTTTGGACCAGCTGCCTCTGCTCTTCCAGGTCGGCCGCGCATTTCTTCTCCAGGGCACGCCGTTCTTCGTGCAACTGGTCCCAGCTGTCTTGGAGGGAACTCATGGCCTTCTTGAATGACTGGATTTGGGCCTTCAAATCCTGGTTCTCTTCCGTGACCCCCAGGAGGCTCTGCTCCATCCGCAGGAGGTCCTTGGCCAGCTCCGCCACCCGTTCTTCAGCAGTCTCGGTCTCATTCCGCAGAAGTCCAGTGTCGTGATGGAAGCTCTTGAGCTCCTTCTTCATCTTGGCTTCCGCGTCCTGCAGCTTCTGGCGGAGACCAGCCAGCTCCTCTTCAAGGCCCGCCACCTGCTGGTTTGCCAGCGACAGCTGCCCACCCAACCTCTGGATTTCGTCCACCTTCTCTTGCAACTGCAGCTGGAGCTCCCACAGGGAGCCCCCTTCCCGCAGGACCAGCATCTCGTCCTGCAACTGGGAGAGGGAACCCTCCAGAGCCTTCCCTTCCTGGCCCAGATGCTGCTTCTCCAGCTGCAGGGCCTCCACGGCTCGCTGTAGGTTCACCGAACGAAGCTCAGACTCCCGCAGCTGGCCTTCCACGCCCGCCTTCTCCTTCTCCAGGGCCTGGATCCGGTCGAGCTGGGTCTTCAGCAGCTGCTTCTGCTGAGTGTCCTTGATGGAGATGACTTGATTCAGGTCTTCGCGATAGCGTCTCAATTCGGCGTCCAACTTGGCATTCTCCGCGTGCAAGTCGTCCATCTGGCCGTGGAGGCTCCGAAGTTGCTCCTTCAAGGAATTGTTCTCGGCGGCCGCTTCCTGGATGAGCTGATCCTTCTCTAAAATGGCAGCCAGGTGACGTTGTTCCAGCTGCCGATAGTCCTCTAGGACCCTGTCCCGGTCATCCTGAAGGGAAGACATGGATTTGGTGAAGGCATCTAGCTGAGCTTTGTGCTGCTTGCTCTCTTCGTGGACCTTTCTCAGCTTCTCCACGAGACCCTTCACTTTCTCCTGAGCTTTTGCCTTATCAGCCTCCAGGGCCACCTTCTGGGCTTCAACCTTGGCCACCTGGTTTTCCAAGTCCTTCCGGTCTTCCTGGTGCTGCTCTTGGGCTTCTAACAGGGCTTCGGCTACAGCCTCTTCCTTGGCAGCCACAAGGGCGACAATCTTCTGCTCCTTGTCGCTCATCTCGTTGTGCAGTCTATCCGTCAGCTCCTTGGAAGCCCCCAGATCAGCCTCCAGCTGCTCCAGACTCAGCCTGCAGTCCTGAAGACTGGCCTCGTGCCTCTTCGCCGTCTCGGACATCTCAAGGCGTGCCCGGTCGCAGTCTTCGAAGGAGGCCCGAAGATCAGCCAGCTGCTTTCTCAGAGACCCGAGTTCTGCCCCTTGCTGAAGGACCTGGCTCTGGGAGTTGCTCAGCAGCCGCTGGACCTCTTCCAGCCGGAGTCCAAGTCTCTGCTTCTCCTCCTGGAGCAACCCAACTTCTTCTTGGTGGTGCTGGAGCTCCATCTGGGCACGGGACTCTTGCGCGGATTGGCTGCGTTCCAAGCTGCAAGCAGAAAGGGCAGAATCTGACAGAGCCCTGTAGACGTTCCTGTTCTGACCCAGCTCCCCAAACATGACAAACCCTCTGAAGTGGACTCAGATTTCTTGATTAGGAGCCCCGGCAAAAAAAAATAAAGTTTCTCTCTCACCGCAGGCTAACCAATCTGTCAGGGAGAGGAATAGTTTTCTGCCACCTCTAGTTCGTCTCCAGCCCCTGCCTTTTATCCCCAGAGCTAGGAAGGGGGTTCGTTAGCAGCGGTGGCTCTCTGTCCTGAGGACCAGCCCATAGATTTCCACTGGTCTCCTCTCCTCTGCCTTCTGCGCATCCGCACGTCAGGCACTGGACCCGGCTGTTCCTCCTCTTCCTCACCAGCCACCTCCACACCTGGGGTCTGTTGACTCTCCATCGGAGGGCTGACGGACGGCCCAGGCTCTGCCTCTGACTCTCTCTCTCTGCCAGCTCCATTTCCTCTTCCCCCTTGGATCTCCCAGGCTGCCTTCATGCTGGCCCTGACTCCCACGCCTCCTCCTCCTCCTCCTCCTGATTCGGCTGCTGGAGGGGTCAGCGACTGACAGGCCACAACACTTCCTTTCATTTTTCCTCACTATGCCGTCCTTCCAAACCAGCCACCCAAAATGCTAACGGAGTTCTCTGCTACTGGCAGAACCTTAGAAGGGTTCTGGGAAATATTCCCATGAAGTCAGGATGGAGACTGGGCCGTATTTAACGGCCAGGCGTGAGGGAATGTAGAGGATGGACCAATGGTCAGTCAGAAAAGAAACAAACTTCTAGATCTGCTGACCCTTGACAGGGAGAAAATGTCTCCTCCCAAGGATGGAATGGGCTCCCCAGGGCAGTTTCAAAGAATGGGTTGGACTGTTCCTGGTTCACAAAGCTTTAAGGTGAAGCAGGACCTTCTCCAATATGGTTGGGTTGGGTCTTGGGTGACCCAGAGACTTTCTGCCAAGTCTCTACCTACTAATAGAACCGTTGTAGCTCAGGGTTGAATTGTGAGGTCTTTGGTGCTCTCTGAGCACAGGGTTTTCTTGCAGGCATCTCATGATCCAGCTAAGTAACATCACCAGTGCTAGAAAGAAGTGGGATTTGTGGAGAGGAGGAAGTGGATTATGGGGTTCTTGGTGTTCTCTGAAGTTTGGTAGTTTTTTGGTTTTTTTTTGCAGGCGTTTCATGGCCCAACTAGATAACATCGTCAGCGCTAGAAGCTTGTAGCGCTGACGATATTACCTAGCTGGGTCGTGAAACATCTGCAAGAAAGCCAACAAGCTCCAAGAGCACCCAGGACCCCACAGTCCTTCTCTTTCTCCTCCAGTCCTCAACACCACTTCCTTCTAGCGCTGATGATGTTACCTAGTTGGGTCATGAAACATCTGCTAGAAAATAACCAAGGTCAGAGAGCACCAAGCACTCTCTCTCTATCTACTCCTTGATCCTTATCTAGCCAGAGGGCTTCACGCCAAGGAGGAACTGGATGCTCCTTCTCTGCAAAGGGTTTCTCTACATCTCCAAGCCTTGACCCCCATGACCTGAGACACCTTGGTGGCTTCAGCATCAGAGACACCTTCATAGGGGCAAAACAGCATTACGGTGAACGTACAGAGAAGGACCAGCAGAAAATCTGCTTGCAAGAGGACAGTCTCAAATCCAACCTCCATGAGAAAAGGAAAGTCCTACACTTAGGCAAGAAAAACCAACAGGACACATATAGACTGGGTGAAACCAGGCTCAAAAGCAGGAACTGGGAGAGGGATCTTGGAGTCTTAGTGGACAACCAGCTAAATAGGAGCCAGCCGTGTGCAGCAGCAGCCAAAAAGGCCAACGCAATCCTAAGTTGCATAAACAGAGGGATACAATCGAGATCAAGGGAGATACTACTACCACTCTATAAAGCCTTAGTAAGACCACACCTAGAGTCCTGCATCCAGTTTTGATCACCACACTATAAAAAAGAGGTTGAGACTCTAGAAAGAGTGCAGAGAAGAGCAACCAGGATGATGAGGGGACTGGAGGCTAAAACATACAATGAACGGTTGCAGGAACTGGGCCTGGCTAGTCTAGGGAAGAGAAGGACCAGAGGAGACAGGAGAGCATCTTCCAATATTTGAGGAGCTGCCCCAGAGAGGAGGAGGGGGTCAAGCTATTCTCCAAAGCACCCAAAGGCCAGACAAGGAATAGTGGATGGAAACTGAACAAGGATTCAACCTGGAAATAAGGAGAAACTTTCTGACAGGGAGAACAATCCACCCAGGGAACAGAAGTTGTGGGAGCTTCATCCCTGGAGGCTTTCATGAAGAGACTGGACTAGCATCTGTTAGAAATGGCGTAGGGTCTCCTGCTTGGGTAGGGGGTTGGACTAGATGACCTACAAGGTCCCTTCCAACTCTGATTATCTGTTCTCTGTTATCATCTCCCACACTGAAAAGAGCACAGAAGAAATGGGGGTAAGGAGATCTAGGTCCTTCCCCTTAGCTCCCATACTCTAGTTCTGCTTCTGCTAGTTATGAAAAAGCGGAAGAGCCCCCAAAGAACCTCGGAAGGGGCCAACTCTTGTCTTACCTGGCCACGAGGCCTTGGAGGTCTTCCACCTGGAGAGCCATCTTCTTGGCCTGGTCTTGCAAGGCGGCGCAGGCCTCTTCCCGAGCAGAGAGTTCCTGCTCCTTCTTCTCGATGGCCTCGCTGAACTTCTTCTCCCACTGCCTGGACTCGTCGATCACCCGGTCCCTGTCGTCCTGCAGGGAGGACATGCTCCTGGTGAAGGCCGCCAGCTGGGCCAAGGTGTGGTTGAGGTCACCCTGAAGCTGTTTGGCTTCTTGGTCCTTCTGGCGCAGGGACACCTGGAGGTCCCGCGCCGACTCCTCCGCGAACTCCTGCTTTTTCCGCAGGGCCTCCAACCTCTCGTCCATGTTTCTCATCTCCTTCAGGTGCTTGGCCTTCTCTCGTTCCACGTGTCTCTCCAGCTCCTTCTCCTTCTGACTCAGCTGACCTCTGACCTGAGCCCGGGTGGCCTGAAGCTCCTCTTTCACCTTCAGGCTCTCCGCCACGACTCGGGCAGCTTCGCTCTGAGTATCGTCCAGCAAGACCCTGCAGGAAGCCAACTCAGCCTGGACCTTCTTGGTCTTCTCCTCTGCCTCCACCATGCTCTTCTTGGCGGTCTCCAGCTCCTTCTTGGACTCGCTCTGGACAAACTCCAGGGCCTTGATGGTTCTCTCCAAGCCGCTGATCTTCTCCTGGCTTTTGATGCAATCCTTCTGCAGCTGCCTCACTTCTTGCTGTTTCTCTTTCAACAACTCCTGAAGTTCTCGGGTCTGAGTCCGGCCATTTCCTTCCTTCCGGGCACTCTTGACTTTCTCCACGTTCTCTTTCTTCTCGGCTTCCCCCTCAAGCTTCTCCCTCAACAGATGCCGCTTCTCGTCTTCCAGGCGGCTCAGGGCCCCCTGAAGATTTTCCATCTCCCCGAGGAGCTGCTGGTTCTGGCTCTCCAGGTTGGCCATGTCCTGCTGGTAGTTCCCGATGCTCCCATTCAACTCGGCCAGCTGGTTCATCAGCCTCTCTTCAAGGTCATCCTTCTCCGTTTCCAAAGCTTCTTTCAGCGTCAACACCTCGGCTAGCTGTTCCTTGGTTTGCCCCCAACCTTCCTCCATCCTGATGAGCTTTTCTTGAAGAGCTTCCAGTTCCTGGCCTTGCAGAGCCAGTAAGCCCTCCAGGTGGTTCTTCTCTTCCTTCAGGACCTCCAAATCTCTATGGGCCTTATTCATTTCCTCTACCGCCACCTTCCTCTCATTTTCTAGTGCCGCCATTTGTTCCTGGAGCTCTGCCACTTGTTGACTATCCCCAATTCTCTCATCACACAAGGGCCCAGCTGTGCCAGAATCTTCCCTCTTGTCCTCAAGGCTTGGAGTGACGGCGGTGAGAACCTCAGAACCCGTGTTTGTATCTTCTTCCTCAGCCACCTCCTCTGAAGAAGACATCCTGGTGGAATTGACTACGTTGCTTCTGGCCAACCTCTCCTCTTGGATGCTGCTCTGATCTTCCTTGTTTTGCAACGTCCGCCTCAAGTCTTGGACCTCCTGCTTCAAGAGGTCCCTTTCGGCGACCAGCGCTTCCATCTCTTCGGAAAGAGCCTGGCAACTCTTCTTGGAGGTCTCCAGCTCTTCTCGAAGAGCAGAATTGGTCCCATCCCCGGGGTGGATTTCCAACCTCAGCTGCTCGTTCTCTTCCTCTAATTCCAAGATCTTCTGCTGCTTGGACTTGGCAAACTTCCTCATCTTCTCCCTCATGCCTTCCATCTCCTGTTCGGCTCCCTGCAGACGAGCTTCCCCATCCTTCCTCTCGGCCTCCACCTCTTTTAGTCTGAGGAAGAGGTCCTGCTTCTCCTGCCGGATGCTTTCCATCACCCGCTGGATCCGCTCGGCCTCGTCGCTGACGTTCTCATACGACTGCAGGAGCGTCTCGTACTCCTTCTGCAGCTCCTCGTGTTTCCTCTGCCACTCGCGGAGCTCCTGGGCCTGCCTCTCGTTCGCCAAGTCCATTTCCTCCTCCAGCCTCGTCTTCTCCCGAGTCACTCCTTCCAGGGCCAACTTCAGACTCTCGCAGGAACTGGTCACGTTCTGGTTTTCCACCAAGGTGTTGTCCACCTCTGAAATGAGTTTGTCCCGCTCCTCCTTGAGGGTCGCCAGTTTCTCCAACAAGACCACCTTCTCCTTGTTCAGCTCAGACGCCCGAAGTTCTGTTTCTTGAAGACGGAGAGAGGTGCTTTCCAAGGCGGCCTTGGTGCTGGACAACTCTTCCTTCAGCCCCTTGCCCTCTTTCAGGGCTTCCTTTCTGGAGATGAGGGCTGCCTGCAGCTTCCTCTGGAGGTGGGCTTTGGATTGGGTCTCTGCCGACTCTTCTGCCGATTTTGCCTGAAGCTCGGCCTGCAGCTGCTGGGCTCGGTCCAACTGTCCCTGCAACGCTTGGATCCTGTTCTCCTTCTCTTGCAGCTCTAACTGGAGGCCACCCAGGGACTCGTTTTTATCTGCTAACTGGGAGCGAAGGCCTTGGATTTCTTCTCTGTGGCTGAGTTCCTTCTCCTCTTGGTGGCATCTCAGCTTCTCCTGCCTGGAAATGTCTTCCCGGCTCTCCTGCAACTCCACCGTCAGGCTTTCCATGTTGGCTTCTGCCTGACTGCAGGCAGCTTTGGCCGCCTCCACTTCGGCGAGAAGTTGCTCGACCTTTTCCTGGAGGAGCAGCGTCTTCTCAGACTTGCCATCAAGTTCTCCTTGCAGGCGCGC